CGCTTTCCTCTGCCCTCTCCCCAAATCTATGTTCTGTGGAGGGAAAGGGTGTTGTGTGGGGAGGAAGGATGGATCTTTGTGGTGGCTGTGGTTCAACCTGCCCCACAGAAAAAAAAACCAGCTCCTGCCTAGGTGGCTGTGAGCCTCTGGGAAGTGAGTTCCATGGCCTGTGAATCCTGCCATTCCTTTTGATGGTGTTTCATAAGCAGCAGTGTTACTGACTGCTCCCCTTCCCTCAGACCATGGTTACACTCCTCTTGCACCAGGCACCTCCTGAAGGTCGAGTCTGAGGCTTTCAATTTGTTGCCTCAAACTTGGGCTGGTACCTCCTGGGTTCCAGCTCACCAAGCTTCTCAGGGTATTAAGATTGGACCTCACGTGAATTATCCTGCTCACAGTGCTCGTGCAGCTGAAGTCCTGGGCAGCTGAGGTCTTCTTGTGTTGTTGGGAGTGAACCAGAGCCAGCTCTTGCCCTCAGCCGTGCAGCTTTCCCCACACCAGGCAGGTTGAGTTGCCCACCAGTGTTGTGCAGCACTTCACCTTCATATGGGACCCACATTTTACTTCCCCAGGAAGAGTGTGGGCAGTAGCACTTGGCCTTCAGCTGGTGAGTCCTGTTGACCATCCTTTTTGCCATTTGCCTCCTGACAGAGAGCAGAAGAGCCTTTGGCAGGTCGTGTGTGAGGACCTGTGTTCCTTACAGCCCTCGGAGGGGTGTGCATCACTTTCTTCTCTCTTCTGCCTGGCTTCCTGTGGAAATGAAGCTTTTTCTGTCTCACTTTCTCTCTGCCAACCTGTCCAACCCTGGCCTGTTGACTTTTTGAATCTGTTGGCCAGTTTTAGTCCAATTTAACAGTGAGGCAGATGCCTTTAATGATACTAAGGTTCTACCACTGCAGCCAGATAGAGAGATACTAAGGTTCTACCACTGCAGCCAGCTAGAGGAGAGAGGTGTAATTAATGTCTGTGTTGATGAAAAGGCTTCAGCTTTTGAAGTGTGTGCTCAGCTTTTTCTAGGGGCCAGTTTTAGTCCAATTTAACAGTGAGGCAGATGCCTTTAATGATACTAAGGTTCTACCACTGCAGCCAGCTAGAGGAGAGAGGTGTAATTAATGTCTGTGTTGATGAAAAGGCTTCAGTGTGTGCTCAGCTTTTTCTAGATTTTCAGGCTTTATTAGCTCTATTGTGAATGAAACTGCCTATTTTTGTATTGTGCAAGCACCACTGTAGTGCTTTAATAAGTGGCTTGGCTTCTGTGGTTTCTCTTGCTGTCAGGCATAAGAGCCCTAATGAGGGTTCAGGATGCCACTGAGCATGGCAATATAGAGCTGATCATACCAAATATCAGTGTTACTAATTCTGGGAGGTAGTAGAGCTGCATGAGGACACAGATCTCTCCTTTCCCTGCTCCTCCTGACCTCAGCTCCATACCTCTTCCCATCTAGCATCTGCTGCCTGGGGTCTCCACCCTGAAGCAAAAGTTACAGAATCTTGGGCTGCTGACACTTCTCCATGCCAGAAAATTCTCCTTGTATTCTCTAGCCCTCCCCTTTACCAGCTTCTCTCCTACTTTCTTAGGTTTTTCTCCTTTAACTTTCCAGCAAAATATGGGAAAACAAATCAGTTTTGCCACATGGACCAAAAAGAAAACACAGAGAAAAATTATTTACCTGAAACTCCAAAAAGTATGTGCTGAAGTTGAAGCTGCTGGTCTCAGGGGGCCAAATTTTTGTGCAGGAGTCAAACAGCAGAAGCATACATTGTTTAAATTTATAAAAGGTATCAGGAATCTGGTTAAATATGATGCATGTGCAAGTTCAAAGCTTTCAGGCTTTAGATCACTGCCTTAATTGCCTTTTAGACTTGAGGTTTAGAACTGACCTGTCAGCCTAAAATAGGCTGGTTTTATTTTGAGTTATGAGTCTGAGGCAGAAATGGCAAGTAAGATGATGGATAGTCCAGTAATGCAAGTCTTTTTGAACATTCCAGGCTTGATAATGATGCTTAGAGATGATCTTGGTCGAGTTCCTGAATAAGTATGCAATGAGTGTATTCTCTTTTTTCCTGTAGCAAGAGATTTAAGCACTAATTTAAGTGTAGTCAGCAGTCATGACTCAGGCTGCCTCCAGCTTTGTCTCTGGTGGTACCTTTAAATTCTGTTTAGACTTTTATGTTCTTCTGGTCATACAAGTGGTTCCAATCAGCAACTGGAAATAGGAAGGTAGCCACAAATAATTGTGAGAAATGGATAGGATGGATATATGTGTCTATGTGCACACAGTTCTATAAGCTTTTATTTCATATTTTTCATGAATCCTAATTTTTTTTTCCCCTACTCTATCCCCTAGTTGTACATGTGATGAGTTTGCAGACTGGTCTTAGGCAACTCTTCCTGCTGGATGTTTTTTATTACTCTTATCATGGATTACATTTCCTAATCTGTGAAGTATCAAAATCACTGTAAAATGGGACATAGAAATCACTGAATTCCACAAACACACAAATGATTTTTCTTTTCATAAATGAGTTTTTCTGCTGGAATACAGGAAACTGCAGGGGATCTGCAGACACTTTCCCAAACAGTTGGCTGAGTATTGATCCTAACCAGTGAAAGACCCAAAATGAAGTATGGGGTGAACCTTCCTTTCCAGATTTAGAATATGCAGTCCTGACATTGGCTTCACATCTGCAAAAGTTCTTTGAAGAGCATAACATGGAGACGTGGAAAAGGGGGAGCAAGGCAAAGAGGGGGAGGTTCCCCTTTGAAATGTGGATGACCTTTGGGTTCCTTTGCTTTTTGTTGCAGTGAAATGAAGCAGAAGCTGGATGAGGAGGGCAACAAGTGCAGCATCCTCTCCAAGCAGCAGAAGTTCAACGAGCGCTGCTGCATCCGCTGCTGCTCCCCCTTCACCTTTCTCCTCAACAGCAAGAGGCAGTGCCAGGACTGCAAGTACAACATCTGCAAGGGCTGCAGCTCCTACCAGAAGAAGGAGAAGGCTTGGATTTGTAGTGTCTGCCAGCAGGCAAGGTAAGGAGCTGGATGGAGTTCAGCTGTGGCCTGACCTGAGCTTCTCCTCCTGTCTGTCCGTGGTTGGTGCTGGTGGGCTAGGACACAGTGTACCTGTTCCTGAGGTGTCACCTGCCTGGGCTTTGTGGAGAGTAATGTGTTCTGAGAGCTTTGGTTGTGTGTTGCCTTTCCCAGGCTCACTGAGCTGGCCTGGTGAATCAGCAAACAGTCATTGGACTTAGCTTCAGCAGGGCTGGGATCTCCTGAGCTGCCTGGGTTGCTGGTGGAACCCGAGTGCAGATGGTGGTCAGGCAGTTAATTGTGCTGCAGCAGATCTCACTAATGAGTGGGGAGTAGAAGGAGGAATATTGCTGAGTAGAAGGAAGAATATTGGTGAGCAGGTCATCAATGCAGTGATGTAGCACTGAGCAAGGCTGGGGCAAGAGGGCTGAATGAAATAACCCTCAGCTGAGATACACTGGATAATTTTTACACGCCTAAAGTGTTGCAAATGCAGAACTGAGCATGTTAATTTCCACCGCTACTCTTCTTGGTTTATTATTATCATTTACACAAAGCTAACAAAAGCAAATCCATTTTATTTCACATCCACAACCAACAAGTTACAAAGTGTTGGTTAGAGAGTATCAACAAAAACATGCCTGAAACAGCACCTGGGAAGTGTTGACATTTCTCCCACACACCCACCCCCCTTCTTCCTTTAGCTGAAAGTGGTCACCAAGTTCATTTAGAAAGAAAAACACAGACAATTTTGCTGTTCCTCAAAGATCAGCATCTCCAACAGACCTTGTCCTTACAGCCTCTAACAGTTTCCCCAGTAACCTCTCACATCAGCAGGTTCCTTCTATCTCCCCATGAACATCTCTACATTTTTCCTATGAACTAATATTGAGCTTTAAAAAAAATTCTGATAAAGTGAGTGACATGTTTAGCAGGATTTAGTATCTTGTTTCATCAGGAAAAAAAAATTTGAAGCACTTTCTCTGTGAAAAGATTTAAATTTTCATAGACTCATAGAATGTTTTGGGGTGGGAAGGGACCTTTCTTGGGCATCTCATCCAACCCCCTGCAGGGAGCAGGGACATCTGCAGCTAGAGCAGGTTGCTCAGAGCCCCATCCAACCTCCCCTGGGATGGTTCCAGGGATGGGGCAGCGACCACCTCTCTGGGCAGCCTGGGACAGGGGCTCAGCACCCTCAGTGTCAAACATTTCTCCCTTCTCTCTGGTCTAAATGTTCCTGCTTTCTGTTTAAACTCCTCACCCCTTGTCCTGTCCCAACAGGCCCTGCTGAAAAGATTGCCCCCAGCTTTCTGACAGGCTCCTTTAAGTCCTGAGAGGCTGCAATGAGCTCTCCCTGAAGCCTTCTCCTCTCTGGCTGCCCAAGCCCAGCTCTCTCCTGCTGGGCTCCCAGCAGAGGGGTTCCAGCCCTCAGAGCATCTTTGTGACCTCTGGGCACAGTCCAACAGGTCCATGCCTTTCACATACTACAGACTCTGGTCCTCCTGGTTTTTGAACGTTGCTGACTGAGGCAGCTGAGCAATTGTGACAAAAGTGAACATTTCTTCTTTGTCTTTCCCCTTAGTGGGAAACCTGGGGTGGAGACAAGAGCCAAGGCCCTTCCCAAGCCTTTGTGTGCCCACCAAAGACTCGTTGCTCCTCTTTGTTTCCCATCAACACTCCTGTTTACACTTTTCCATAGGATCTGTGGATGAAGCATGTGCCCTTTGACACAGGGCCATAAAATCATCTTCATCCCAAATAGACAATGCCATGTGTCCAGATTCCAGCCTCTGAACCCAAAAGGGGGTTGTATGCTGCACAGCACGTGGTCCTTCTCTGCCTTTTCCCTTGGATAACCTGCACACACCCCATTTCCCCAGTGAGGAGGCAGAATGCCAGGAGGGTCTTTTCCAGCAGTGCAGAGAGCTGTGGGGCCAGGTCATTCAGCCATGTCACATTCCTCCTCTTCCTCCCACTTCTCCTCAGTTCACCCGTGAGAGCAGCAGCAGAGGCAGCCAGGCTTGTGGATGCTGAGGAGCTGCACTTGAAAACAGTGTTTGCTGAGCCCACAAAAAAAAAAGTCTCAGGAGAATTCTCATTTCAGAAGAAAAATCTGTAGCTGTACTATCAAAATGCTGTTCCTGGCCCTCAATGTCAGGGCTTTTCCCCCAGTCCTTTGTAGCCCCCAAAGCCACCCACCTGTACCTCCATTCTGAACGTTTTCTCTGTTTGAGACCTGAGACATGGCTTGAGTTATTTGTCAGTCAATAAATTAACTCACTAACACTGCTGCTAATCATTCCATGATCTGGTTGATCGACTGGACTCACAAACCCCCGTTGGGAGAAGCAGGGGCTGGACTTCCTCAGGAGCTGCTGAGCTGGTTTGCTTTCATGTGGGCTTCTTTTGATGGACTCAATGATCTAAAGGTCTTCTCCAACCTGAACGACTCTGATTCTGTTTTGTCCATGGGAAAACAGCCCAGTCTGTGAGTTCCTGTTGAGCTCCTGCCCCTCCCCAGCTCCTCTGCTCGTGCCTTTTATTTTTTCCTTTAATAAGACAGCACAAGTTGTGGAGGTGGTTCTTGGTTTAGCTGCTGCTTGTCTGCACATCTCACTGCCCAACAGGTATGGAGGTAGAACTATCTCACAGAGGATTGCATTTTCAGGTGGTTCTCCTTTTTTCTCCCCCTCTTGTATGTTTTCATTTAATTCTACAAGAGTTAATATTGCAATTATCTACTGAGCAGAAAGAGACTAACTGGAAAAATACGAAGATACAGAGTTCAGGCTGCCTGTAATGATCTGTTTGTGCTCTCCAGCTCTGCTCCAGAGCAGTGCTTCAATAATCCTGAGCTTTATTTCTAGTATGTCTTTTAGAACCTGTCAGACCATTCTCTGATGTCAGCAGCAGTCTCGTGCTGTACAAAAGGCTATAAAGCCTTTCAGCTTAAATTGGTTTTGGAAAGATGGTTCACCTCATGCATTAGAGCTTGAGACTAATTAGGTTAATTGCTTGGAAGATACATTTTGTTTGTCTGCACATATGGAAGCTCTGAAAAGTTGCTGTATGATGTGGGGATCAGAAGCAATGGCTTGGGGATGGTTGATTTTTTTTTGGAAAGCAGTGTATAAACATCCCTTGGGTTTGGATTTAAAACCCTTCTAGGAGCCCCTTTAGCCCATTTCTTTTTGTTTTGTTTCCATACTCCCAATTTGAGTGCTGCTTTACAAAAAAAAAAGGCATCTAAGATAATATCATTTATCTTCATAGACTCTCCATCCAGAGTTGGTTTGGAATGTTCTTTACATTTTCTTTTGAGTTTATTGTAAGGTAAGGTTCTAACTAGACCCCAACCTTTTGCATCAGTAGCAAATGTAATTGCCTTACTGGAACGTCAAAAATTAATTAGAATTAGATTTATTAGATAGGCATTAGATTTTTTTTTAATGTACATTACAGTAATACTTGAGGAAAATTTATTAAGGTCCAGTCTAGCTGTGGTGCCTTGTACGTTTGTCTCTGGCCTGTATTGAGATTGATGCTGATGTAAAAATGGAGAAATGCTTCTGATAACATGAAAATGGCACCAGAAAATATGAAACTGGGCTCGGTGGGCAGACAGAACATCCTTCAAAGGGACTGGAGCTTTGCCAGAGCCAGGAACTAAATAACCCAGAACCAGTCCTAAATAAAATCTTTATATTTCAGATGGTTTTGTTGGGAGGGGCCAGTCACTGTAGTGTGCTTTAATGTGGTAAAGATGATGGGAGATGTGATTCTTCTGCTTAGCTGGTGCAAGATTTAGTGGGAAAACTCTTTACAGTCTCTACATGAAAAAAGCCAACCCCAAAATGTGGCAAAACCTTTGGATGGTGCTTGGAGGAGAAGTTCTCCCAGCTAATAACTGAACTGTGTATTTGTTTGTTGATGCATTTGGCTGTAACAAAACAGTTGGTTTCAGGATTTAGTTGTGGGAAGCTAATGAAGATGGAATGCTGCTTAGCAATCTTGTTTTGCTTTCCAGCAGGCTAAACCATCTGGTGAAAGGAAGCTGAAGGATCTTTTAGGTGTTCTGCTGCAGCTTTCTGCACACTTTGGTGAGAGCTGCGTGTTTCTGCTGCCTGAGGTCCTTGCCTGACATTAGAGAGAACTTCTCCAGAACTTGGAGGCTGTGGCTGGCGTGTAAATGCCAGGCAATGTGTTTTTCCTCCTGAGCAGAGCTGTGGAGGAACATTAACATAGGAGAAACGACCAGGTTTCAGCTCTGCCACGTGCACGTCGCCTTCCCTGCACCCACGTGGGCCTTGTTCTGCTTTTTCAGAAGCCTTCTGAGTGATCCCATTCATTCTGTACTTAAAGGGTTTACTAAACTTAGGTAAATAGTGGTGAAAATGATTTTTCTCAGCTGTATGAACTTCTAGGAACTGATGTTCCTTTCAAAAATGCCAGCTGCTCTATTCCAATTTTCTTCCTCCTCCTCCTCCTCCCACCACTCTCTCTCTGGTTTGTGTCCTGTCTGTTGATCTCCTTCTCCTTAGATCCCAGTGGATCCCAGATCCCTTCTGCTTTCAGCACCCACGAAGAGCAAAGCTGATAGCTTGGGTTTTGCACAAGAGCCAGGAGCAGGCTTTGGGTTATTGAGTTGTTCCTTAGCCAGAGGAGGAAGAGGAGGAGGAGGAGAGAGAGAAACATGCAAGCTGGTTGCTTTGTCAGGCTGATCTCTGCTGAGTTTTTTGCTATCCTGATCTGTCTTAATTATTTCTCAGGTATGCACTGTGGAGAATTCCAGTTCTACTGGACAGAACCAAGGTGTACTTGCAGGACGTGCAGCAGCCTGCAGTGCCTCACCCAGCGTGGGGCAAAGTGTCCAAAAATGGAACAGGAGAGCAGGAAAGGCAGGCCCATGAGAAGGGTGAAACACAAGTGCTAATTAGGTGATCTTTGGAGCTTTAAGTAGCCTCGGAAGTGAGCTGAGCCTGTGGCTGAGTGCCTGGAGG